AGCAGGAAGCCTTCCCTTATTTCTGAAGTCCAAGATAAATGACTATGAAACTTAGAATTTGTACTCCTAGCTTAGATCCAGTTCTCTAGATACCTGTGCCCATCAGTGTCCTCATCTTGATTGTCAGCTCCTTGAGGAGAGGAATCTTATCTTCTCCCTCTAAGAACCCCTCCTAGTACGTAACACAGTGCTGAATATCCAGCACACATTCAATGAAGCCTTGCTGTATTGCATATTTACTTTAACCCAGGACTAAAAATACTCACAATGTGTCTGGCAGCAAAGACCCCGTCAACTATGGCACAACAAAAAGCTGCAATCACACCAAAGCTGATAAACACGATAGAAGCCACCAGCTGCAGAGGGGAACAAAGCGAAAATGTCCGTTAGCCTTTTATTCTTGCAGCTTCTGAAGACTAGGTGATCCTCAAGAGACTGCCAGCCAAAGCAGAATTCTAGCCTGCCACCTCATGGGGATGTTCTTTTCAGTCATGCAGGATGACTGGGAGTAAGGGTAGGGAGAGGGTGCAGAGAAGGGGCAACTGAAATATATTTTATGTTTTCAAGGCAAGCTAAGAAATTCACTCTGTGAGTGCTAAATGAAGATGAGGTTTGCTGGTATCCAGCAGGCTGCCCATGGAAGAATTTGACTGCATGGTCCTTCAATCTTCACACTCAGAAAAATGTTGGACCTTTGACATCATGTGGCCCAGCCCCTTATTTTATTCATGTAAAAATGGATGCACAATGAGAGAAAGTGGTGTGCCCAGAGACTCTATCTAGTCTATGGAAGAGCCTGGTGCTCATCGACTTCTAATCTAGTGTTCTTTTTGCTCCCTCATAATGCTACTCAATGGTCTAGTAGGCCCTGGTGAAGACAAGGATGATTCTGAGGTCCTGTACAACCTTACATTGCCTTCTACTTTACTGAAGAAAGAAGACATTCAACTAAGACTTACATAAATGTCAAGGATATTTTACAAGACTTGAAATCTCTAAAATTGATCAACTCTGTGTGGTATGTGTAAACAACAACTTTCAAGTATGAAAAATGTTTGCCTAAACCTGTCTGTCCTATTTTCTAATCATGTGAGAAAAAAGAAAATTGCCTTGTTTTTTTTTTCCTTAAGAAAGATTTTTTTTTGCTATAGGGTACGTGTGTTCACTGGGGAAGACAGAGAGACAAAAAGCGAGAAATCACCCCCTGGGGGGATGACCATGCCACAAATCCCTTCTCCTCCATTGTCCTCTCAGGATCTTGGACATGCACGCACACATGCCCAATGTGAGGTTTAAGCCACTGGTCCGGGACTTGAACCATGGTCAGATTACATGGGAGTCCAGCGACGTAACCATTATGCCATCTGCTGGTCCCTAGAATTGTCATTTATTATAAAGGTGATTTTACAATGCAATTGGCAGTGGTGGTGGTGGTGGGCAGCAGTATGAGATAGGTGTTTCCAGGGCAGGGATAGGTGCTAACTGAGCCTACCATTTGCCCATATTGACTCTTAGAACTAGATGGAATCAGCATTTTTCTTTTTTGAAATTTTTTTTTGTGTGTGTGGAAAAGAAGAGAAAATAACAGCATTAAGCTGCTCACCAGGTAGAAAGAGGAAATTAAAATCAAGGCCACCCTAGGGTTCTTGCACCTTGACAGGCTATGAAGAAATACTTATCTCCTTTGAGAGTTATTCAGAAACCTTTCTCCATAAATCTCACTTCACAGCACTACAGAGAATTGGTAAATAATGGATGAACGATGTAATGAAATTGGCATTATCAGCTATGCTATGATCAGCTCTACAATGAAAACTCTCCCATTATTTTGAATAATTTAAGTCAAAAGTGCAAACACAACTGGGGATGGGGGAAAGGCAGGGATGTCCAGGTAAAAAGGAAGAATAAAATTATTAGAACTCTCCTGAGGGTGATTCCCCACATTGCTGGGGGAAAAAACATACAGTCGGAGTTCTCTGTCCCTGGAACCATTATGTTATCTGATTAAACTCGCTGTTAAGTTGAACCCATTATCAAAGTTTTAATGCCATAGAGACTTGTATAGGGGGAGACTAATCAGTACACCATCTGACCACTCACTAGGCATCTTGATTTGTAAGTCCATAAAACTGCAATATGCTTGCAATTCAGTCTGTACCACCTACCCTTGACCTTGAGGAAGCCTTCTCAGATTGAACATGAAAATACAACCTGCCTTTTTTGGTTCCCCATTAGGACATGGAACTTTCTAAGCCTCACCTTTGGTGCTAAGCTCATCCTTCTTTTCTTCTTACAACACACTAAGCTCTGCACTATGGGTAATGGGGATAGTCTAGGTTGACTTCATAATTTTGCCCTCTTTTTGTGCATTTGTTCATTTTGTACATTTGTTCTCTTAACCAACATCCTCTAGCTTGTCATCTTCCTTTTGCAGAAGAATTCTCTAGAAAAACTTTCCCAAAATATGTTGTAGCAGAGAGGAAGATGTGAAGGTCACCAATAATCCAGGGCAGCAAGTAATGGAAATCACAGAGGCAAAGGCGCTCTACGTGACCATAACAGCCTGACTGGCTAAAGTACTCCATTGAGAGTGAGACGGAATGCAAAGGGCAAGATCCAGAATATTCTAACCCCATGGCTTAAGGAGACTAGCTTAGGTCAGTGAGAAATATCAGGCCATGTGAGAACAAGTCCCAAGTACAGACTACAGGGTCACTCTAAAAACGTGTTCCCTAGAGGCTTAGGACAAAATGCAGAGCAGCAATTTCTCTTGCGGCCAAATAAGAAACGCATTATTTATCCACATAAGTGCCGAACTTTTTCAAATGAAGAACGTGATTCTATAGGAATGAAAACTTACCATTTGCCGTTTGTTCTCAATTAGGTTTGATCCGATGATTCCAAGGAATGATCCAAAGCCGAGCTGCAAAGCAACATGGCATACATAGCATGTGGGAAGACAGTCAGCCTGACCACACAATCATTCCAGCTCCTGGATGGGATTCAGGACAACGGAAAATAACTGGGGTATAGATGCTAAAGCCACACACAGTTGTTACACAAATACAGCATGTACAATACAAGTTTTTTTTCTCCTACCATTTGCCCGTTTTCCTTTGTAGCTATGAATCACACCTAAAAGGAAACTCATGTGCCCAAAAACTAAAGTAAAGGTCAACCATAGCTTTTCAGAGCCTGCCTATTTCAATTTCAATACCCATTACTTACCACATGACCAGTGAGTCAGTAAGAGACATATAACAGTGTAAAATACATATTATGTTCTGATCTTTATCTCTTTTTGAAAAGGACCTTCCACTTTGATGCATGAATTACGAAATAAAGGTTTGCGATAGCAATTTTGGATGCATCTGGCATACTAATCAAGCTCAGGAAGTACTTTAGAAATCAGCAAGCACCTTAACCTGCACTAAAAAAAAAGAAAAGAAAAAGAAAAAAAAAAAAAGCACTTTTTTTTGAAAGCCTGTATTTGTGGTTGACCTGCTGCAATTTATGTTAGCACTTATTCACCTCTTCTTCCATCTCTGCTTCATTTATGGACAGAAAGCATTCATTAAAGGGTGAACAGAAATGGCAATGTAAAAGCCTGAAAAACAATTTCCCTGTCTAAGTGGCTGGGATTACGGCTGGGTGTAGCATCTCCCGGTGGCCCCCCCTGTCTAAGTGGCTGGGATTACGGCTGGGTGTAGCATCTCCCGTTGCCCTCTCAGCTCTGCCATTAGTGGACTGAGGCTGCCAATCTCAGCTGAAAATGATCACTAACTGAGAGCTGTTGACAGAGATGAAAATGTAAGAAGTAAAAAGTGGTGAGAGTGGACCAATAAATCTTAACACAAGTTCAGTGAGGTAGTTACATTTCTCTTTAGCCTCACTAATGGTCTGGGTTTCCATCTGCAGCCTTACCTTGGCTCACAGGGGCATCTATTTCAGTCCAAGGCTCCTAAGCCTTACACCGAAGTTTGAAAATCTAATGGATCTGAGGGCAGGGCAGGAGCTTGGTCAAGAAATGTAGGGGGGTTGAGTGGTTGGATCAGGAGCCCAAAATGAAAGAAATGAATGTGAATTTCCAAGAGCTCCTTCTGCAAGACCACTCAGCCAGCAATCCCACTTGAGAAATAGAAGCCACAGTGCATGAGGACATGGCCCACGCCATCCAAGACACTAACAACATCCTCAGTCAAGAGTTAAAATATGCCTGTCTCCAGGCTGGCCCCATAGCCTAGTGGTTAAGGGAACCAAATCCCACATGACCGAGCAGGCCCTAGTGTATTGAAAAACATGCTGGTGTGTGTTCATACATTCCCCAAATCCTGTCTAGATGGAAAAATGGAAAAGAGATTGTGGCATAACCATGCCCTACTGAGGGGTACTTTCTCCCTCCCTCCCTCTCTCTCTGTCTCTCTCTCTCTCTCATGCAAGTGTATGTGCCCTCTGGCAATTTAAAAAAATGCCTTGGTTATTACACCGGCCTGGCTTCCCACTCCAGCTCTTCTACTTATGTCTGTGCAACCTTGAATCCACTAATCTCTCTAAACCTCAGTTTCCTTATCTGTAAAACAGGGATCATAGTAGTGCTACTTTATAGTGCTTTTGTGAGGATTAACCAAGACGATACATTCAAAGAACTTCACGCGGTGCCTGACACATAATAAGTACTCAGTAAATATCATTTTATCCTAGTGATTATTACTACATTTTTAAAAACATTAACTTTTGAGTCACTCTAACCTGATTTGAGCTGTAAAATTATATTATTATTTTCTCTATTTCATGATAAGAGAGTTTCTCTGTTCTATATTATCTCTTCCTCCAAGGTGTTTCTTAACTTTTATTTATTTATTTATTTATTTATTTTTGCAACCTAAAAATATTTACTTATTAAAACTGTATCAATACATGGGCCCAGCAGGTGGCATGGTGGTTAAGGTGCTGGATTCCCATGTACTCAACTGCATTTCGAGTCCCGGACCTGGTTGCTTGCTTTCTCACTTTCACTCTCCCTTTGTCTCTCTCCTCTCTCTTTCTCTGTCTCTCTCTCTGTCTCTCTCTGGTGAACACACATGCCCTAGAGCAAATTTAAAAAATAATAATATTAAATAAATAATTCTTTCAAGAAAAAAACTATACAATACTTTAATCAACTATACC